AAAAAAAAAAAACAGAAAGAAAAGAATAAAGAAAAAAATATGTTCTTGCTTTCAAGAGACACACGACAGAACACTTTGGATGCAGTATCCTGTCTCACAGTTCAAATCTCCCTCTGTAAACAAGAGACAGAAGGATGCGCTGAGGGTACGTACTAGCAGTGGACAAGGCCCTGGGTTCTACCCCAGCACCAACTAAGAAAGACAGAGACATAAAGCAAATGTGGCAAAGGCATATGGGTATCCACCGCACTATTCTTGCATATATTATGTAATTTCAAAATCTGTCAAGAGGGCTGGGGTGCAGCTCCCTGGTAGAACACTTGTCTAACATGATTGAGGCCCTGCTTTCCATCCCACTACTGCAAAGTAAGTAAATAACTTACCAAGAGAAAAGAAAAAGTTAGCCAGGCGCGGTGGCGCATGCCTGTAATCCCAGTGTCTTGGGAGGCTGAGACAGGAAGATAAGTGAGACCCTGTCTCTAAATAAAAAACAAAATAGGGCTGGGGATGTGGCTCAGTGGTTGAGTGCCCCTGAGTTTAATCCTCAGTAACCCACCCCACTCCAACTCCCAAAAAACGGAGAGAGAAAAAAGAAAAAGGTAAAGTTGGAACACAAAGTTGAAAAATAAAATCTCTGAAATTGGAAAAACAGATTAATGGTTAAAAATGTACAAGGGATAAGGCCGGGATGTGGCTCTGGTAGAGGCTCTCTTAGCGTGCATGAAGTCCTGGCTCAACCTCCAGCACTACACAGAATGTGTGTACAGGTGGACAGGTGGAGACACAGAACAGTGAAACTGCCCCCTCCATGCACAGTCTCCCCATTCCTAAAACCCCAGTGACTGGGAATACACAGTTAAAGAAAATATATATATATTTTTTTAATTTCCCCGGGTACTGAGGAGGGAGCCCAGGGCTGGCACATGCTAGGTAAGCGAGCTGCCAGGAGCTCCACCCACAGCCATTTTGTTTTGTTTTGTTCTCATTCTGAGACAGGGTCGTGCTAAGTTGCCCAGGCTGGCCTTGAACCCAGACTTCTCCTGCTTTAGCATCCTGAGTCTCTGGAGTTACACGCATGCACAGTAGAACATCATTCTTTGATCAGAATTTCCCCTACACGCACTCCACACCCCAATTGGGACCACAATGCCTGTAACTGAGTCAACTAAAGATAACAGTGGCCAGCTGTAGAAAAGGAGCCTCATGCACCCTCACACAGCCTGCCACCTGTTCCCAGCAGCTGGCCCAGGCCCTCAGGGTCCTATAGGGGCAGAGATGCACCCCATTTTGTATATGAACTGAGACCAGGAGGAGCCCTCAACTGGCAGCCCCCCGCCCCCTTCACAGGTAAGCAACAGAACCAGGATTTCTACCCTCAAACGCAAACTTTTCCCGCAATTGTTGGCCTCCTCCAGGGTGGCGGGGACAGAGAAGACAGACAGCTGCTCTGCTCATCACCCAAATAAAGATAAGTGCAAAAGTCACTGTTTTGGAGTTTTTTTAGAGACAGGGTCTCGCTAAGTTGCTGAAGCTGGCTTCAAACTTTTGAACCTCCTGCTTCAGCCTCCTGAGTCGCTGGGACTGCAAGCCTGCACACATGTGCTACTCGAAGATACATTATTAAATAAGAACAGCAGAGCACGGGCTGGGAGCTCCTGGAGCTCAGCGGTAGAGCACGTGCTGGGCATGCCCCAGACCCTGGGTTGGCTTCCCCACGCTAAACACGCACAGCAAAGCGTGCGAGCTGCCATGGTGGCGCATACCTGTAATCCTGGAACTCAGGAGACTGGGCAGGAGATTCACAAGCATGAGGCCAGCATTGACAACTTAGCAACAACCTTGTCAATTCAGTGAGACCTCATCTCAAAATAAAAAGGGCTGGGGTGTAGCTCAGTGGTAGAGCACCCCTGGGCCCAGTCTCCAGTACCAAAACCAAAACCCACTGTGTGTTTTTTTGGGTTGTTTTGCAGGGCTGGGGTGTAGTTCATTATTAGAGCCCTTACCTAGCACGGTCCAGGCTCTGGGTTGGATCTCCAAACTCTCTCTCTCTGTCTCTCTCTCACACACACACAGTAGTATAATACTTGTGCAGTGTTCTGAATGGCATTTGAATTTTTTGGATTATTACTATATTCTGGAGACACTTCCACATCAGTACCCAGGGGACACCTGCATTTCTAGCATTTCTCTGTCAGTCTTGGTATTTATGTTTTCGCTCTCACAGATGGATCCTTAGAGCAGTGCCAGCACAGACAGTCACAGTTTACCAGTTCTCCATTAACACTCAAGCTCCCGATTCTTGGTTAGATTAACAAGGCTGCGACAGATACCCAACCCCCTTCTTCACCTAGCTGCACACAGCCACATGACAAAGTCCTCCAAGTGGAATGGCCAAGCCTCCGCATAATGAGGGCCACAGAAACACTAAGATACCAGCAGCTCACCTGCACTCAGCACTACCATGGAAGAGGCCCTGGCAGTCTAACAAACCCTCCCAGCCCACCCAGGAGGTTGGTATTATTATTATCCCACTCTGCAGAGGAGCAAACAGGCAGAGAGAGACCGGGTCACCTGCCCAAGGTTGCACAGCTAGTAAATGGCTGAAGTGGGGTTGAAACCCAGGTACTCGGATTCTTCAGGCCCCACTTGCAAGCCAGGAGGCTGCACTGCCTAGGGGCAGGGACAGTTTTGATAAACACTGCCACATAGCCACGGAGGAGCCTTTCTCTGCGCGCCCTTTTCCGTGGTGAGGGAGGCTGCGCCCGGCCTGCAGCAGCCCCCGCAGCAGCAGGGCAGGATGCACCCCGCGCACTCCCTCCGGGGCCAGGAGTGCAGGGCGTCCCGGCCGCGCGCCTGGCCCACCTCGATGGCGGGCAGCGTCTTGCTGGCCTCGGTGCTGCTCTCGCCCAGGATGCTGCCGGCCGAGCGGCCCTCGCACTCGTAGCGGAAGCGCATGCCGCGCTGCTTCGGCTGCTCCGTGATGACCAGGTGCGGCCGCGGGCCCGGCCCGGGCGCGGGCGGCATCAGCCGGCCCAGGGTGCAGCTCCATGGCGGCGGCGTGGCGGGCGGCGCCGAGGAGCCCAGGGTGACGGTGCTCAGCGAGGCCGCCCCGCGAGACACCAGGCGCGGCTGCCCCTCGCTGTGCCCGGGCGCTCCGTCCAAACCGAAGCCATTCTCCTTGATGTACTCGTCGATGATCTCTGCGGGAGACAGAAACGCGTGACCCGCCCATCCCACCCACCCGCCTCCAGGCTCAGGCCTTGCCTCCCGGGGGGCGCAGGGCACAGGGCCTCGCTGGGCACGCCAAGGCCCTGCCCCTCCGCGCAACCACCAGCAGCCCCAGAGACTGAGCCAGAAACCTGGGGTCGGTCTGCTTCTGTTTTCTTCCCCACCTAAATGGACTCCCGTCCCTAACACTCCTGACCCCATTCTCCATGCCACCCCTCACCTGGCTAAGGGAAGGGCCCACCCGGGGGCACTGCCTCTTGCTAACACTAATGACAGCTGCTCTGCAGCAGCCACCAGGGCTCCAGCTAGAAGGTCATCTTCTCCTGGGCCACACAGAGAGGCCCCTGCCTCAGCCTTCCTGCCTGGTAGCAGCGGGGTTACAGGTGACAGTCACCCGCCTCTGCAAGGGCCTTCTTCATCGCCCACCATCGTATCTGTGTAGTAGCCAGGCACAGTGCCACAGGCCTGTAATCCTAGCCAGAGGCTGAGACAGAAGAATTCCAAGTTCAAGGGCAGCCTCAGCAAGGTAGGCAGCCCTAAGCAACTTAGTAAGACCCTGTCTCAAAAAAAATGGGTAAACTTCCAATCCATGTCGCACTTCTACCTCTGTGTTTCGGTTTCAAAATGTTTACTTTCCGCTTATTCTCCCTGTCCCCACCGCTGTCCCAGGTCACCTCCTTCACCTCCCACTGGACCACAGCAGTCCCGAGCTCACAGCCCCTCTTCCTGCCTTTCCAGCCTGCATCTGTCCCCAGTGCACGGCCAGAGGGATTTGGGGATGTCCAGGCCTGTCCCTTCTCTGCTCGGAAACCTCCTGGGAGTCAGAGTCCACACTCCCCCCAGCGGGCTCCCCGCCCTCCAGAAAACCAGCTTCAGCCCCGTCTGTTCCTTGCACCCAAGAAGCCTGGCCCCCTTCAGGGCCTTGTATTTGTTCTTCCCACGGCCGTCCTGAACCCCACTTTTCCCCACTCAACCCATACCGGCTCCCCTCAAATTTCTCGTCTCCATTCACATGTTACTCTGTCATTCACTCTCTGGCCTTGGAGTTGAGCCCCACTCAACTTCCACCCCCTAAATCGACTCCCATCCGTAACACTCCTGAACCCATTCTCTGTGCCACCTCCATGAGGGCAAGGACTTTGCTTTGTTCAGGACTTTGACGGGTCCCGGAGCTCAGAGCAGTGCCTGGTTCCCAGGCAGGCGGGCTCACTGACGTCCCTGAAGGAGGCCATAATAGTAAATCAGAGGCTGTTGACTCGGCTGAGGAATCCCAGTTTCAAGGACCGCTCAGGATCTTGGGAGCATGACTCGGTGCAAATGAGAGCCGCACTGTCACCCTCCTCACCCGAGGCCTGGCCGCCCCCCGCCCCCATGTGAGCACCTGGGCCCTCCGCCTCCCGCATGCCTGCCTCCTGGTACTCACCCAATTCATCTGTGGAAGGAAGAGAAAGAAAGGTTCAGAAAGTGGCCAGGGTCTGTCATCTGTCCAGACAGATCCCCAACCCTGTCCCTCCTGTGACCCTTCCCCCAGCCTCTGTCCTGAGACACCCTAGGATGACTCCTGGGCATCAGCCCCAGCCCCCATCTTCCCCGTCTGGGATAACCTCCCTTCACCCCCCGGTTCTGGGGTCCAGCATTAGGGCATCCTCAAACTCAGCCAGCGCCTCCCCTAACATTCAGACCAGGGATTGGAAGCACTGCTGGGGACAGGGGGAAAGCAAAGGGCCCTATCACGGGGGGGAAATGAACCCCCTTGATTCTGAGCAAACTGAGGGGAGGTTCCTTCCTGTCCTCCCCCCAGGGCCCTTGCAGGCTACCTCAAGGGCCGAGGAGGCAGATCTTCAGCTGCCTGGATCCAACCCCATCCTCCGGGCCCCAGTGCCCACCCACACCCCAGACTGGCCCCGGCTTCCTGGGAGAGGGCTAGCAGTGATGCCAGGTCCTCAGGGAAGCCCCTGTCTCCTGCAGGAAAACTCAACCCAGAAAGGGGCCGTGGAGAAACCGAAACCAACCTCCCGTCATTCCACGACAGGACAGGACGAGGGGAAGCCCAGAGGGCACAAGTGAGCCTAGGAGTCTCCCAGAGAGGAGGTCCGGCCCAGCCAGAGGCTCCGCCCAGGGATGCCTTGCAGGCCACTGGCTGGGGACCTGTCCTGTGCCAGATCTAGCCTCCTCCTCTGTGCTCAGGGAGTGGCAGCTGGCAGCCAGACTTTGCCCCTTACAAGATGGTTACCCCTGTCCTTTATCTCAAGCCATCTGTGAAGTCAGTAGGGTGCCTCGGTCCCCATTAGGGAACCAGGGACAGTGAGGATGGGAGGGAGAAAGGGACCTGCTTGAGGTCACCGTCAAGTTACTTCAACTTGGAAAATCCATCTATGCTGGATGCAGTGGGGACCCAAAGGCAAGTCAGATTTGGGGCCCTTAAACATCTCCAGGCTGCAGGGGGAGGCTGAGTCCTGGGTGATGGTGGCTGGAGCTTGGGGTTAACAGCTTCAGTTCAAGTTCAAGCACTGCTACCTGCTAGTTGTGTGGCCTTGTGCCACCACTTAAATTTTTTGTGCTTGGTTTCTTCATCTGTAAAATGGGAACAATAATGTCTACCTTGTTAAGCTTGAATAATTTTAAAAATCAAACAATACTTGGAACTGTCACATGGTAAGCAAGACATAAATGCTGGCTGCTATTAGACAAAGTGTTGGGGGACAAGTTTTTAGGGACGTAGGTAATTCCTTCCCCTCTCTGGATCTCAGTTTGTCTATGAAATGGGAACGTTGGGAGACATGGCTTTACAACATAAGGGGTTCAGTACACAGGGCTGAGCTGAATCCCAGCGGTCACTGGCCCGTGGCCAAGTCTGTTGACTTCTCTGAGCCTCCTCTATTAAATGAGGCCTGAGCTCCTACATAAGGAGGTAATGTCAGGTTTCAAGAGCACACACGTAAACTGCTAAGTACTGCATGCGACCACCCTATGCCCTCCATAAAGCTTGGCTAATATTATCTGAAGTCTTCTTTCAGCCAGGAAATGTTAAGAACTTCTTCTCCTTACTCAAGGCTCTATTCAGACAACAGACTTGCTACTATTCAGGGTCAGCCAGGATGGGTCACATGGGAGCAGAAAGCTGATGATGTATTTGCTGCCTCAGGGCCTTTGCCACAGGTTGGTCTCTTCCTGAATGCTCTTCTCCCAGCTCTTTGCATGGCTCCCTCCTACTACTCCTTCAGATTTCTGTGCAAACATCACCTCCTAGACAGGTTTTTCTGGCCACTTTATCCAAGACAGTCCCCCAAGCCCCTGACTCCAGTCCCTTTGTTTTATAATTTTCATGGCACTGATGAGGATTTGATATATCCTGTCATTATAATGATTTCTACCTGTCTCCTCCCACAGACTGTGAGTCCCAAAAAGTGGGGA